TAGAATTAAGGTTTACATCTGTTTCTGCTACAAATTTTAGGGGTCGTTTCTAATTTTGGTGATGGATTACATGAAGGGGCTGTTGCTTGTTACCGGAATGACAAAATCCAATCAAGTATACTGGAAAATGTTTGTGATTTTTAAAGTTTACTCTTTTTCCGGTGCAGTTGGATAGCTAAAGGTATGTGGATGTTTCCCTGCAGTTTAGCTGAAGCTACTTAAAAAGGTATTAAGAACCCAATCCTTTTTTTAATGTAACCTGGTGTTTCTGTTGAAATGGATTTCTTATTAGAGCAGGTTTTCTCATAGGTTTTGAACTTTACTTACAAGATGATATCACAGTGGGCAAACTACAAATGCTATTTAATAGTAGCAGGTGGCTATATTTGATATGCCTGATTCAAGCATTCCCTTCAGAACAAGTCCATTGTAATTTCAGTATCAAATATAGAAGCAGTCCAAGGAGCAGAAGTGCAATCACACATCTCACTGAATCTTGCATTATATCTAGCAGTCTGGAAAACCTTTCTAACCAAGGATTGAAGGTGTTCTCTATCTATTAGCTCATTCTCTGAGTGCAGTTTGACATCTGGAGTTTGAATCTGGTCAGTCTAAACAAATCATTCAGTCAAGGCATCACGTGCCCTGTATCCATGTGCCAATTGCAACTAGGCTTTAATTCTCTCCGGTTGTGCATTAAAAGAAAGAGTTGACTGTTAAAACACTGGGCTTGTGTGGTTAAAACACCCACTTGTTTGGGCTCTGGCTGAGCCCATGTTGAAGGGATTGATATTCCATGTTGATTGGATTGGTATTCCAAGAGGTCTAGGATAGATGAATCCTTAATTTCTGCTGGATTTAGACCTGTACAAGACTTGAAACTCTGAGGTCCTGCCTAAAGCTCAACAATGAATAATGCAGAAGTATGTGTCTAAAACTTTGGGAAAGCTTAAAAAGAAAGGGTGGATGGAGATGAGAGTAAGCAGGTCTGTCTGAGACTAGTAGTTGGGAACACACATCTGTTATAGATATCTCTGCTTCAAGATGTGTTTAAACAGTGTTCTGTAAATATATTCATAATAGTAAAGAGAAGATGAAATCTATGCCCTGCAATCCTTACATTCTTTAGTTTCCATGTATGGTGTTGATTTATTATTTGTTTGTAAATGTCCAACTTAAATATCCTAGAAAGAAGTCTTCATTTGACAGTAGGGCTTGTCTCTTTGCAGTTTTCTTTGTTTTTCTTTTAATCTTTGTAATATTACTGTTTCCTTCTGAAATGTAAATGATGGTGAGGCTGAGAAAGAGATGAAGTCACATCTTAAGCCATTTAGTTTTGGAAAGTGATCTTCAATCTACCTGATGGAATCTAGTACCAGTAAGACACTAAAGAGTAAACTTTTATTTGTGTATTTGCAAATTCATCCAGAAATGTTGAGAAACTGATCTTTAAATATTTCAAAGAACATTCCTGTGGCAGTGTATGCAACTGAGGGGACAAGAAATAGGAGGTATAGGTTAGGTTCTACAGTCTTTGGGGCTAGTCTTTGACACTGGTATGTCTTGCTTGCTCTGGCTTTTTTCCATTTTTCCCACTGTGAAAACCAAGTGTTTCCTGGCTGCCACTCTCCAGTCCAGCAGCATAGCTAGAAGTACTTATTTGGGTAAGGTAGCAGCCAGTACCTGCATAATTGTGTTACATCCAAATTTGAAAACAAAAATCATTCAAAAGAGCAGTGCTATGAGTAGAAACAGAGCTATTAAAAAGTACATCAAGCTCATCCCTGTGTCATTATTAGATCATTTGAAACCCCTAATCAAGGACAACAAAAGCCATGGATAACATTCAAAGTCAGCACAGTCTTTGTCCCAACAAGGAGAAAGTGTCAGAACAGGTTACAAATGTGTCTTTAAACTAGCAGTACAGAAATTGAGTTTCAGGTTTAAACTCATGGTTTTAAAGGTTAAAACTGGCCACCTATGCACTTTTAATTCAGTTTTCCTTGAAAGAAATGGGTCAGCTGTATCTCGAAGTTCCATTGACAGCCTGTGAGGGAAGTAGTGGTAGCCTGCACACTTGTGCTAAGCCCATTTTGGCACCAAGATTTGTTGGAATGGATTTTAAGCAGCATCAAATTGCACTGAATAAAGATGAAAATAATGAATATGCCATTGGGATATTCTTACTGAATACTTTGGGTACTATTCTAGGTATGCAGTTTTTGTTTTCTAAATTAGTTTGATATTTGCAGATATTGTTGCTTCCATGCATGGTGTGTAAATATTAAAAGCAGCACCTAGGATAAGTGACTAAAACATTAAGGGGTATGCCATCCTAGAATATGGTAAATTCAATATGAGGTAATGAATGCATCAGTGTAGTGATACAATTTTCAAGACAAAGGTATTTATCAGGAGAACTCAAAGCAAATGATTGGGCTAGATACATAGCAAAATAATAAACTACTTTTTATTAAAAAGAGCTGAATTAATCAGATTTATGCCTTATCTTTAATAATTGAAAGCAACAAGACTGAGGATTTGTGTTCTGAAAGTTCTAACAAGTCAGTAATATCAGCTATAATACTCCCATTTTTAAAATGACCTTTTATAGATGCTCTATAAAATTAAATTTTAATGAGTGGCAATAAACAGTGATGCTTTCCATAGCAGGAAATGCAGCACTAGCCTGAAGCTTTTGCTGTCTGTCATCACCTCCAGTACTGTGTTATGGACCCTTTTTCCTTGTTTTTAGGTATGAGAAGTATGATGATACCACAGCACTTAAAGGAAATGAAAATACCTTTAACAGCACACTTTGTCCAAGCTGTCTTTTTGGATGTATAATGGTGTTTCTGTTGCTTTCATGATGCTTTTCCTGAGAAGTACTTCTTTAGTACTACGGTATGCCACTGAAAGGTTCTCACATTTTCCTGCTCAATTCCTACATTGGATAAGGGTTGGCTGGCAGAAGAATAATTTTGGATCAATTAAAAGTATTAAAACATAGGTGTGTATCTCTGAGAAAAATTGTACTGGCTTTTCCAAAAGCCTGAAAGCTACTGGCCCTTCAAGGATTAATAAAAAAGTAAATAAGTTTTATGAGGGACAGGAGGAGAGCAGAAAGGGAAGAAAAGAGAGAGGAGGAGAAAGGAGTGGCAGCTTGCATCATTAAACTGGTAAACGGCACTGGAACATCAACCTCCCTACTATCAGCAATGATTGGAATGAATCCAGGAACTCAGAATGGATCTCTAAATGTGTCTTCAGTTGTAGCCTTTGGCATAGATTTACATTCTCTGTCCCTTGGGCACTGAATTTCATTTCCCCATTTTCTAAATGAGAACAATTTATCCTAAATCAACGATAATCAGAGTAAACACTATTATTAATTTATTGTTTCCAGACGAGGGAAAAAAAAAACCAAAACAGTAAAATGAAGCTCTCTACTTTTATCAGGCTTTCCCTACCCCTTTTGCCCTGAGGATCCTATTAGCAGAAAGCTGAGCAACTCTGTTTCATCAGAAATAAATTATGCCTCACTTTTTTAATGTAAGTACTGAAGGGTTGTAAAGATTAGAAATATGTTTGAACCCACTATCACTTGATGTTATTTTCCTTGATGTTCTGAGCTTCTTTAGGGGAATGAAACAACATGTTCTTCTGAAAGCCAAGAGCAGAGCTTTTTTAAAAGAACGCCAGCACAGATTTTGGTTGATGGACAAAATCACTTCGATTCTGTGCAGCAGCAATATTTAAAGTAATGTATAGGCAGTGTGAAACAGAGCTGTCATAATTCCTGGCATGTATAAGAGACAGAATGTTTGCAGGGCAAATAGGTGGCACAACTAGTCACCCTCATTTTTTAAATGATTAGAAAACTGTAATTCCCCAGAAACAGTAGACTAATTCTCACTTTCTTCACAAAGGAGCCAAGGATGAAAAAACACCTTTAATTAATAAACACTGCTGGCACTACTTTGGTAACAAGCTGCTGTAAATGAAACTCTTAATTGCCTCTGAACACAGTATTGTGTACAAATTCATGTTACTCCTTAAGTGCTGGTCTTTGTTATTGCTATGTTACATTTCTGTAGGAAGTAAAAGTGGCTTTGTCAAATCCTTGTTATACTGAAAGAAGTTCCTGACAGCTTTCCACTTGTGGGGATCACTGAGATCATCCACAACTCACCCAAGATGTTCTCTCATCATAGCTAGAAGAGACAGCACTCAGCACAGACTATGTCCCAGCTAGATTAAGATCCTTATGATGCTTCTGTAAATGAACCTAGGCTTTAAATCTCCAACAAAATGTTATGATGAAGGAAAATATGTTTTTAAATTAATGACTCGCAAAATAATCATATAAGAGAGTATCTTATATATATATTTAAGATTTTGGTGCAAACAAAGTGTTTTGGACTGTTCTACAAAGTTGCATAAATATTTTTTTTCATTGTAGGATGCATTCTGAGAAGATTTTTTTTCTTCAAATTAAGGTTTTTTGGCTGTAAATGTCAAAGACTCTGATATAGGCAGGAGCTGAATCTTCCAGATTGGTGAAGAAAACACCAGAGGAAACCAGGATAAGAATATTTTGATTCCATACAGTCATTATCCTTTGATTGTTGAATTCCCAGAACTCTTATTTCCCTTGTTAGGAGTTTTGGAAACAAAACACTTTGAATGTTTGTAATTTGTGAAGCATTGGCACCATAAGAAAAGGCATCCAGGTCAATCCATGCTTAGAGACTGAAGAGATAATGAAGAGGATGGCAGAAACAGATATTGTCTCACATAGAAATGTTCAAATATATTGCAATGATCTTGATTTTGGGAAAACCTTTATCAAGTTGTAAAGTATTGTTCAATTTTTTTTATTTTATTTTTTTTTTACTATGTCATATTTAAATGCTTGTGGAAAATGCTGAATTTGGGATGCATCAACCTAAACCTGACATTGGCACCTAAAATAAGCATTCCTGCTTTCTTCTTTTTAGGATTACTGAATGAGTGAATAGTCACCAGTCTTGAGAAGAGCAGATGGAGACACTGGTAAGTAGTAAGTAATTTACTTTTCAACACAGAGTAGTGAAGGAAAACATGTTTGGAATGGTTATACTTCCTTGGTTTGATCTAAACAGTTCCATAAAAGTTATTTCAGCTGCTCAGCATAAAACCTCTGGGATGCCTCAGTGCCCATAAAGACATGAGGATTCTTGGTGCGTTTTGTTGGGACATTTTTTTTCCTCTGTGTGGAGATTGGATTTAAATGCAAAATGGATTATGAGGTTCAGCCTTTGCAGAAGGGGGCACTTGCACTCAGTAATAACAGTCTGACACATGGGTTTAGAAGGGGATCAACAAGTATAAGGATGTAGCACTATTGATTTTTTCCAAATATTGGGTGAAACCTAATTAAAAAAATAAAATAATGGAATTTAAGGGCACTTTCAATTTAAATTTATTGGATGAGACTATGAATGTTCCTCTGGCACAAAAGACATCCTTGCCAGCCAAGAGATCCAGTAGCTCCTTGTTTGTAAATGTCACTCATTTAAGAGTATTTCTCAGTAACCGGATTGAGAGTGGACATCCAGGCTGCTGGGCAAATCCCTACCTCTTGCACCTCCCTTTAGGTGCTGCCTAATTGCTCTGAAGTCAGCACACAGACTGGAGGAGTGTTGCTCATTTCTGTTCCAAATGAAATGCTTTGGACAAAGCAGAGCAGATGCAACCCCTCTGAATTCCCACAACAGATGGAAGAAGCAGTTCTATTGCAGAATATTCTGGGAATGCTGAGTTATGACAGATTTGGCTTTAAATCCTTACTTCAGGTAGGCAGAATAAGCTTTAAAAAGTTATTCTCCTATCATCTAGAAGCAGCTTTTTGACCCTTTGTTACAAGGTGAGATGGGTGCACCCTAGTGTTTGATAGATTGCTGTTTGTACAAAATATGTAATATTTGTTAATAAGAAAAAAGTAAATTAATGGGCCACTTTACACTCTGATGGTTAGAACATATACTTCTGGAATATGAGGAAACAGATAAATAACTGTTGAGGTCAGAACATGATGACCTTTCTTTACCTTTGGAAAACAGCTTGTTTGAAACTCGAAACTCCAAGGTGTGTGGGACTATTATTTCCTATGGTTCTAATCAGGTCAGAACATGATGACCTTTCTTTACCTTTGGAAAACAGCTTGTTTGAAACTCCAAGGTGTGTGGGACTGTTATTTCCTATGGTTCTTATTCTATGCCTAACCTTTGAAGTTCATATTTTTGCTCTTTTTTTTTTTCAAATTTCTTTTTCTAATGATTCTAAAATTTAATATGGTAGTGTGATAGCTCTTGAAAGCACAATCTATCATATCCAGAAATTAATTAAAAGGACAACCTGCACAAATTACTATGGAAAGGAATGCATTAATATCTTCTCCAAGATGGTATAAGGTGCAGTTTCAAGGTCAGCTTGGACCATTCTGGGTCTGTGCTGCAGCCAGAGTGTCAGCTTTGATTTCCTCACCTCTGACCCCATACTCCTCCTTCCTACTTACACTGGCAATTGCAAGTGTGCAGTAACCCAGTCAGAGGAAGGAAACAAAACACCACTAAAACCCCAAATGGCTCCCCCGTCTCTTGCCAAGACAACCCTGTCCTTCAGAAAGCATGAGAACATTTTTGCTGAAGGAGCAGGTTTGAGTGTGATGTTGCTGTGCAGTTCTGCAGCTGGAATTGGTAAAGCAAGGAGGAATGGCACAGGAACAGCAGCCTTAGGTACATTTTTGGGTACTTTTTGGGTACTTTTTTGAGCCTGCGGGGGAGCTGCTTCTGAAAATGCTCAAGGCAGCAAAATCCAGAGAACTTACCCATGACTTAGAATAAATTTAAAATTATGGTATAAATGTTAGTTCACAAGCTTCTATGATTCACCTTCCTGTAAGATAAAATTTTAGTTTTATCTTTAACCAGCAGTGCATATGGTTATAAAGGGTGATTTTCCTTTAGTGAGTGGCACTAAGTGCCACTGCAGATGTCATTAGGTGCAATTTCACCCAATCAGTCATCTCTTAAAGTAAGTCAGTGTCATAAGGGTGGCTTGAGGTTTCTAGGAATCCTTGCATTTACTGTTTGTAAGCAGGAATAAAAAGGTACAGTTCAGATACTACTTTAGCCCTTTGAATTTTACTTGCACTTTGGACATTTGTATGCCTGATATTTATGTTTAAATACATTTGTATGTCTGATATTTTTGTTTAAATATGTTTGAATGTCTGATATTATATTTTATTACATTTGCATAAAAAGGGATTTAGTGTTGTCTTTCTGATGTTGCTATAAATTCTTTGTCTGAAGAAATCCATGAGCAGCACAAAGCTTCGAGAACTGTGAACCTAAAAAGAAATACATAAGGCAATGATTACAAACTACACATTGGTGCCTAGCAGGGAAAAGCTTGTAATCCAGAAAATGTGCAGAACCATTTATACTATTCAAGGTCATCACAGGAAAGATAGCAAGTAAATTTCAGAGTTATCTTTAAGATTATTAGGACTGCTGGAAAATCAAGCCCTGACATTATCTATGTCAGGAATAAATAAGGTTAATATGAGTCAAACAGGTTTGTGACAGCTCTTATTTGAAATAGTTTTTTCATTAAGTAACTCTTCTGTTGATCCATGAATCAAAGATTAACATGGGAAAAAGAAATGTATATACATGTATAATAAAAAATACTTGCTATCACTTTATTTTCTGAAAAGTAGAAACCTAAAAAAGAAACATTCTGGGAATTATCTAAGTTTCTAGCAATTATCTGCCTTAAAAGTTACTGTAGTCTAAAGGAACAGTCAAAGACTTCATTTAAAATTAAAGGAAGAAAAAGTAATACAATAACTTATATAAATATAAATCTTATTTTGTAAACAGCTCTTATTGTGTTGCAGATTTTTTCAGTATATTCAATGGCAAAATGCATCTATTACTAATCTACAATTTATTTCTTTTAATAATTAGTTGGTAAGATCCACCAAACTCCTGAGGCGTCCTGTCATCAAGGATTTTTAAATACAAGATTCCCAGATGTTTACAGCTGAATTATTCCCAATGTAGATCAGTAAAGTTTTTATAAATGGTGGTGATAAAATTGTATACAGAAAGCAAAGAATATTGCAGGTTAAAATATGTATTAGAGTAACCTGAACAAGGTATAAAATTAAACCTTAATTAAAATTAAACCTAAATTGAAATTAAATGTGCAACCCACATCCCAGGTAACTCTTGTGATGAATGTGGGTGGAATGGTTAGATTGTGTGGTGTCCTGCATCACAGTAATAAATGCATGGAAAAATAATTTCCAGTTTTCAACTAATGGTCAAGCTTATAAACTTCAGATTTAGAGACTTCAAGTGCACAGGAATATTTGACAGTTCTAATTTAAACAACTTACCATGCATTCTCAACTTAAAAAAATAATTCTGTCATATCATGAATTTTTTTTTCAATAGCTGTAAACACAAAAACTGCTAGAAGTTAGTTTTTCTGTGTAAAAGCCAGAGTGGGGAATGGAGGACAGAAAGGAAAATTGGCTTTAAGGAAAAAGGATGGTATCCTAGCCAACCACATCCTGCATGACAAGGGCATGATAGCTCATCATGACAAGGAGCTGGAGAAAAGTGGAGTAATTTAGTGTAATCATGTGTTTAGAGAAACATAATAAGTAAAAGGACTAATGAATTCAGGTAACATGGGTTTGTCTCCTGTGCTTGTCGGGGTCCTGTAACTGAGTAAGTGTCATTTTGCTATGTGATAATAATACATCTTCTCCTTTATGCCTTCTGTCTTAACTATTTGAAACTACACACTCATCAGGTCAAAAGCTAATGCATATTGTGTGTGTGAACAGTAACCTATTCCAATGAGGGTATTTATCTTAGTTGCTTAAATAGCTCCAGTGCCATATCCTCCTAATCATCACTGGTGACTTCTGGCTCTTGTAGTGTAATCACTGCATAACAACAGCCACAGAATTTGGTGCCTGTATAACCCAACCATGTCTTCTGTACATCTGATAGCTCTGGGAGATTAATAGTGTGATTTCCTTGGAAATAGTTTGATTGAAACTATGCTATCATTTGGACACTGTATTTGCATCCATATTATTTTCTATAATCTAAATAATTTTTATAGAAAGGGGATGTGGGGTGCTTGTTTTCAGCAACACTGAGTAGCCTACTCTTAAGAAATTCTCTTCCTATTCCAGCCTCTTATTAGAAAATCACTTTTTACATTAGGTCTAACAGTCAAAATGGAATATTTTCTTTTTTTTTTAATGAGTAACAAATACTGGTAAACTCAGTCTGTCAGCTAAATAAGCCTATGTAGCATAGTCCTTAAAAATGTAAATGTTACTTTTAGAGTTTGGTCTTGAGATCCAGATTCTCCTGTTAAGGACATGGTTTCTCTCAAAAGAATTCTTCTCTCACAAGCATTTTCAAAACAGTGCTAATACTTTGTGTCTGGCAAGAAATGTAGTGAACAGCCAGCTAGGCTGTATTTGAAATTTTCTCCTCCAAACGTGAACAAAACAAAGGAAATACAGTCCAATGGAACTGAATTTTTAAAAACTTTTTTCTAGTTCTGTTAGTGCAATCTCAGAAAGTCTGAGAGAATACAAACATGTTTCATCTCCAGTTTCATTCAATCTGTTTTCACTTTTTTGACAATTCAATATGGGTATATTTGAGAACTTAACGTCAGTTCTTTCTTTTCTAACTCTCCCTTTCTTTCCAACTGTGCTCACTTTTTTGTATATATGTCATTTCACACTTATATTTTTCTTCTACTCCACTGGGAAAAGTAGGCTAGTAAGACTGATGTTCACTTTCTGAAACTAGTTTTTCTTTCAGTTCTGTTTCCCTAAGGGTGCTTAAAATAAGCGAAATGTAAAATGCTGAATTGGAAAATTTAGGATTTTACTGCTATTACATAACAAAATGCATGGAAGGGATGGGGGAATTTCAGGTTCCATTTTTCTGAAACAAAGCAAGTTGTCACCAAATCTCTATTTTGGCAAAAACAAACAACTGTCATTCTTAGAAGAGAATATTTAATGATACAAACTGTTTTTCTCCATGATGCCAGTGGATGGACTTGTGTTGTTATTCTTTCAGTGTGAAAAATCAACTCTTAAAACTCAATTTATACCTCGGCAATGAAACTACATCCATTTTGATTCTGTACTGCAGCCTTTGAGGTAACATAGGCTGCAGCACCTTGTTTATATTGAATTAATCTTCACACTGTTAATCTCATTGTTTGCTCTGGAAAGTAAGATCCAAACTAATTCTTGGAGCTTGGTGGCTGAGCAGGTGTTTACATGAGTTGTATACTCAATGCTGCTGTACAGGGTAGGCTTCAAGCAAACACTTGTACAGCAAATTTCAGCCCTTTTTGTTCGTTGTTGGTGATGCACAGCAGCCATGAGTAACTCACTGAGCTGTTCCTCCAGTGACAAACATTCCTCTGCAGCAGCACCTGATCCAGTGTCAGTGCTGGCACCAGGGGCCAAGGCTGGACAAGATGTCATGAAATGACAAGATGTCATTTCAGACACCCAGGGTCACAGACTGGATCATGGGGGAATGGCAAAGCACCGTGCCGTGCTTATCTCCTTGGCCAGTTCAAATATCTCCTTGGCCAGATATCAAATATCAATAGATATTTGATATCTACTTAATTCCAGCACAGGAACATTTACATGCCATTTCCCTCCCTTTTGGTTTATTCCCTCTAATCAGCTTGCTCCCCCAATACACAGAATTTCTCTAGACAATGTATTGCCTCCTTGAGGCTGCCTTACATTCTGTCTGGTTGCACTTCTCTCTCCTGCACAGAACATGTTCCTGCTTCTCACCATCCACAACAAATTGTAACCATAG